AAAAGCTGAGGGAGCAAAACATGGATTAATTTCAGAAATCTTCATTAAGCACACACCCATGAAATTTATAGTTTATCAATAGAGGCAAGCAATAGGCAAATCAATAAATGCACATCATGATAAATATTATGAAATATTATACTAGTTAGAACAAATAAGGCGTAGGTGGACAATTAATTTAGATAAGGCCACCAGATCTGACCTTTATGAGAACATGAAATTTGTGTCAAAAATGGAAAAATAAGAAGAAATAAGCCATGCAAAGTATTGGGTTGAAGAGTGAAACAAAGGAAAGGTTGTAGACAAAGAAGATACTACATGAAATCTACTGGAGTTTGGCTTGGTTTCCAGAACTCAACCAACTCTCAATAACATTATAACACAAGAAATAAGCTAGTCACGTACTAAAGATGCTTTGGGAGCATAAGTTCTCCACTAGATTATATATCCTGGTGAGACTGTGGAAATAGCAGAGGATTACTGTGAGTGTGGTAAAAGAAGAAATGATGATTTGTGAGATATAAACTGTGGGTATTCAGAATTTAAAGGCAACAATGAAACAGAAAATTCAGTATATGAGAATTTTTAATGAAAAAGATTCAAAAGTATTATTTTCTTGGCATATACATATGTCTTGGGAGATTCATTTTGACATATAAAATATTCTGCATAAGACTAATTTCATTTATAAAATAAAAATAAGCAGAAATTTTACCAACAAAATATTAGTGAAACTAATGTTACAAAAGACTGAAACATTTATCACTTTGCAATATTTCAAGCATAAAAATAAATATTAAAATTCAACTACTTATCTATGTAAGAGAAAGAAATATATAACATTTTCATGATGTCAAATCATAGATTTAACCTGAATGAAAAGATAAATGCTTTTATTTCTTATCCAAATGTTTGTTCTTCTACCCCCTACCCCAGATAAATTCAGAGCTTTGTTGAATCTACAGAAATCTAAAACACTTAGGTAGAAATTTAAAATTCCAGAAATTACATGACTAACCTTTACTGGGGCAAACAACTAACAAGTACCACAATTCAAATGTAGAATCTTGTACATAACAAGAAATCTCTCAATGAACAATCTCTAGTATTTGTTTTGTTTTATAAACCACTTTCTTCTAATTGAATTTTTTTCTTCTAATTCCAAAAGTGAATTCATGCTTGTCATTATGTCTAAATTCAAATAATTCATTACACTGCAATTACGAAAATAAAAATGAATAATCTATAGCATGGAGATTAAGATTCAGAACCAAGACAGGAATTGGAAATCTGTATTTTTAATAATTCCACCACAACTCACACATGTACATACACACAGATCCAAGAATAAGTATCAATGATCTAGCCACTCTTTGACTGCAATTCTCAAATTTTAATACATATTAAATATGTATATATTTAATCACTATGGAACTTTAAAAATAAAGATTATAATTCAGGAGTCTGGGTGGTTCCCAGGACTCTACATTTCTAGGGAACTCCCAAGGTATGCTGCCATTTCTGGGTCAAGGCTCTGAGTAAGATGGCTTTCTTGAACTCCTGACCTCAAGTGATCTGATCCTCCCACTTCAGCCTCCTGAGTCACCAGAATTATAGGGATGAGCCACTAAACCCAGCTAGTAAGATGGCTTTCTATCAATTTTTGAAAGTTTTCAGAAATGAAAACTTCATGTTCTTTTCTGGCACTGTCTCTCAACAATTATCACTCAGATGACAAAAAAAAGTTTTTTCTTATGGTTAGTTAATTTAAGAGCAATTTCCATTTTAGTTATTTCTCTCTATGAGAATACTTTCTAAACTATAAGTCACCAGAAGGAGTAATAACTTCTAAAGGCTTCTAGGTTCCTCTAACTAAAAGTTCAAGTTCATGTTTGTTCTCCATCCAATCAATTGTTGAGTCGATTTTCTCAAATCCTTATTCATCTATTTCTGCCCAGGTATTCTCATGGAGTCGACAATTTCATAGTATGTGTCTTCAAATGGGCAGATCTTCATCAGAGAGCATACCTGTGAATACAGAGGTTCTTAACTTCAAAGAATTCTAGAGAAAGAAACAGCCTAGCTTAAATAAGTTATTTTTTTTTTCTTAAGATAAATCTGGAAACAATCCCAGATTATGCATCAGACCCTTTAATTTAGAACTCTGCTGGAAAAGCTGTAGATAAAAACAACAACAACAAAAAAACTTTACTTATTTATAATGCAGAGTCATTTTTTTTTCCTAGAAAACCTTTGTTTTTAGTTCTTCTCAGCCAATATTAGATTAAAAGCCTGGAAGCAGCATCTGTAGATTCAGGTTTTGGTTACATGGTTGGAGCTGTTATTATAAATCTAGCAGTGGTCACTTTAAAACAGTAATTTTGTGGTGTAGCTATTCCCAGTACCATGTGCTAGGCACTGTGCTAAGCACTTAAGCATTATCTTAACCTTACACAAGAATGCGATATGAGTAATAGTACTAATTCTATTTTAAAGACGAAAACTTTGAGGCTTAGCAAGGTTAAATAACTTGCCCACAGTCATAAAGCAGAAAGTGACAGGCAAGGCACGAATGAATCCAGAAATTAGAACTAGTACTTCTTAATTCTCAAGTATAAGCTCTTAATAACTCTAATAACTCTATTTTACCTCTCTATGGTTAAGAAGACATCTTGAAGTGTAAAAAAAATTGACATTGACACTTTTATATAAAATGATAGATTTCACTATTGTTTTGGCTTCCACTAGGTGATGACTTTAAGATACTTACTGGTGCAATTCTGGAAAGCAGCATTCCTTCTAAGCAAGTATCTCTTATCTTTTCACTTAATTTTGCCCTCCTTTCAGTCTTCCAGATAACAGTGATAACAGTGATACAGCACTATCACCCTTCAATCATGTATTTGTTAGTATAAGGAGGTGTTATAAGCAAACCAATGGTTTAATGCATATATACCCTTCCTTTGATGAAAATGTAATAGGGTACCTGTCTCTGATAGACATGGGGAAGGTCAGATATTTTTGAAAGAGTATTTTTGCATGAACAACTTAAAAGGTAGTAAATTCCATTATGATACCATCTGAAGGGGCAACCATATTATTTTCTCAGAGTTGTTGGACAGATTCAAAAATTACATTGCCAGAGAGTTCTTTTTAAAACATCTCCCTAAACCAGTAAGATTTGGGTCATAGGATTAAAGCTCTATTAAGAAGAGTTCAGCAGTGCTCTGAAGAAATGCTGAATTGAAACTAAAGGGATTTTTCTAGCTGTGAACTGGTCACTATGCTTGCACTGAGGCTTTTCTTTTTAAGAGTGATTGAAGCATTGCTCAGTCCCTCATATTCACTATGGGTGTGCTGTACAGTTAGTGCTTGTTTAAAGTTCCATTGGCCACTAAAGTGCAAGATGTAAGACACTCGCTATGTTAGGCTTTTTGCAGATGTGTTTTTATAATGCCTTCCACTCACGAAGTTTTAAGGAATAAAAAAAAAAAAGAGGGTTGGTCATTGTGCTGGCTTATTAAGTTGATCCATGCCAGTAATTACTTTTAAAATACGCATCTTCCATTCTTATTCTCTAACCAGATTAATCACATAACCATTTTTCTGCAATATTTAGTTATCAAGATATGTATATATGTATGTATATACACACATATAACATATATATGCATTCACATGCACACAAATAAATGCACACACATATGTATATTTAAGCTATATATATATATATATATGCACATATATAGCATAACTGCCTTATATGCATATGTATATATATCTGATAATGGTATGATTGAAGAAGTGTGATAACTCTGGTTTGAGAATAAACAAATATTTATATTCATTTCAAATAATGTGACAATTATTTGATATCTAACAAGATCCATTCTATGACACATATTTAGGAAAATAAGATGAAAATAGGATGGGGTGGGAAATATTATATTTTAAGTTGGTATTTTTAAGAATATTGTACCTTAAACACAGAAGTAACCAATATTTATTTATTATGTGCTGATAAACATTAAAACGATAGCTTTGCAAGACTTTGTGTTGCTCCTAGATCTGGAAAATATCATCATTTGGGTGGCAGGGTGGAACGTGGGTCAAGGAGAGAGGTAAGCTATGGGAATTCTGATCCTCTTCCACAGTGGCCTTTATTGGCTTCTAGCCCCATTAGAAAGAGAGAGTGGGGCTGAGAGGTTTGGGTATAGAAGACTACATCAACGTATATTATGTGGCTTTTAAATCAGTCAAAACAGGTAATTTCATTTCTATGATTGAACTTTATGAACTATTAGTATGAGTTTCCAGCCTAGAAACCTTTGCTGTGGTAAAGGATGGTTTAAAATCTGCAGCTACATTTTTCTTTATAGTACCAGGTTCTTAACAACCAAAGATAAGTGAACCGCCCTTGCCTCAAGTGAGAGTGAGAGGAAAAAAATACACATACACACCCCCTGGGGGAAGCAAAGGGAGCAAGTCTGAGCTCTCCCTAGTGTTCAATGGAAGGGGAAAGGCATGTCTGGTGGTTTGTGGAAGGGAATCTAATTACCAGTCTTTTACTTTCATTAATAGGCTGGAGCAAGTTAACTTCTCAAAGGAGTAAGAAGTAGACATTATACCTGAATTCTTAGACTACATTATGATCATTTAGGCATCTCTTTCACAAAACAGATTTATTTAAAAAGTCCTTCAGGAGGCAGACAGGTGGGCAGGAAAAACATCAAATATGGAAAAGGCAAAAATAACTGGTAAAATATGATATAGTTGTAGATGGGAGGGCAGAGAATTCTGAAAATCTTGAGAGTACATTTTAATAAGTTTTAATATTCATTTGTGCAGCTTAATTAGATAGACTAATCCTCAGGTGAGAATTTTCCGTTTTAAACATTGCTTTAATTTTGTTTCATTTTCCTTTTTACAACAGTGGTCTCCGGGCAAAACTCAACTCGGATGTATTCTATATGCTTTTTAACCAAAATTTTGTTTTTTAGCTTCACTAGCCAAAAATCTGATGATGACTATGAAGATTATGCTTCTAACAAAACATGGGTCTTGACTCCAAAAGTTCCTGAAGGTGATGTCACTGTCATCTTAAACAACCTGCTGGAAGGCTATGACAATAAACTTCGACCTGATATAGGAGGTTTGTTAAAACTTTTTGTGGTGTGTTGTAGATAGGAATACATCTACCTTATTAAAAGAAAATATCAACATACTTCAAGAACCAGAAAGATTTAAATTATACTTTTGTTATATGTTATAAAAATACAAAGTGTTTAAATAGCATTCAGGCCTGGGGGTGAAAGGGGTTTTGAGAATTTCAAATTGAGAAAATATAATTTTTAAGCAACATTTAAGAGTTAGAAACCCAGATTTTTCTAGGTATCTCAGACAGAGGCTGTAGAAAATAGGCATCAACCTCTTAATAAAGCAACATCATAAGACAAACAAGACAATAATAGTAAAGGTAGGATATGTTGTTTGCTTATTCCTCTTAACAACCATACAATCTCAGTGACGTACAACAATAAACATTTGTTTAATACTCCACCAAGGGATGGGCTGGCCTAGACAAAGGCAAGCTGGGGTTACTCATTTAGGAGGGCTGTATTTTATGTACTCTCATGCTAGTTCTGGGACCAACAAATGAACTAAAAGAATCCTTCGCATAACAATATAAAGCATCCAGAGAGAAAATAGAAACTCACAAGGCTTAATGCTTAGGCTTAGAACTGGCACACACACTTTTGTCTATATATTATTAGCCAAAGCAAATCAGATCAAATGGTTAAGCCCAAAGTCCAGAGGCAGAGGAATAGCCTCACCGAAGAGAAGATAAGGGTGAGAATTCTGGTAATAGGGAAGAATTCAACCTACCACAGAGAGTTAGGACATAACACTTTCACAATAGATGAATAAAGATGAGATAAATGTACTTGTTGAATCAAATTCCAGGATGACATTATGAATCCCTGTTCATTAAATGTTAAATGAAAATGAAGCACATGCATTTGGATGTAGATGTTATACTACAGATTTTTTAATATCAGTCTTCTCTGACAAATAGGTATGCAATGGGCTTCCATATGGTTTCCTCATATGATCTGTGGTGCCACAGTATCCAATAAATCATCAAGGAATTTTAATTTTGTGTTGGTGAGAGATATGGGAGGATAAAGTGATCATACAAAAAATCAACAGAGAGGAATGTTCAAAAACAATTCATATTCTGAGTTGCTCTTCTTGTCTACTTCCTGTTTCTAACGCATAATTTTTTTTCTGAGTCACTAAGTAATTATTTTTCTATATGGGTCAAATCAGGTATAATACCCAAATAGATTCCAGGTCTTAAATTTAAAAACAGTAAAATTCAAGATATCTGAGAGAAGGATGAAGAAAAGCTAAGAGCAGCATTTTTTAATTTCTTTGTTTTTATGTAGTTTTAAAAGAATAATCAGTTTTAAAACTCTACAAAGCTTGCATATTGCATTTACATGCTGAAAAGATTTTTTAAAAAACAGTTATTCAAATATAATGAATTAGTAACTGGTACCAAATTAGTTGTGAATAAATTACTTCTAATGTATTTAAATAAACCTTTTTTAGAAAACAAAGACTAAAACATTACAGTTTTATACCTCCCCATATGCACATATTTCTATGGTTCTCTTTACAGTGAAACCAACATTAATTCACACAGACATGTATGTGAATAGTATTGGTCCAGTGAACGCTATCAATATGGTAAGTTTTCTAATATAATTGTTCATTTATTTTACTAGCTTATTTGAGAGGAAACATGGTATCATGGAAATAGTAAGGAACATGCCAACACAACAAAAAAATTAGATTCAACACTTCAAAACAAAAAGATACTTTTTTCAGATTCTTTTTTGTCCTTCTTATAATATGAAAATAATTACATTTTAATGATCTTTGTTATGAAATTTTAATATGATCATATATATGAAATTAATTTGAGTACATATGCTATACAATTAAAATTCAACAATTATTGTGAACTTGCCAAGTACTACTTACTACAAAACAAAATATAGTATTCCATTTGTTTTTAGAATATTGGTGGTTTAGGGATGGCATAGTTTGCTTCAAATTGAAAATGTTTCTCAGAGAAAATAGTGTATCAAAAGTAATAATGCATAAAACTTTTTGTTCTTATATAACACTTTCTACCCCGGACTGAAAAAAGAAACTAGACTGGCGATCATAATATTATATGAGAACAAAAAATAGAATAGAATAGACTTCAAAATAACTGTACAATATTATGTATAAGATTTGTTCAATATAATATTAATATCATATACTATTAGTATTATAGGATATAATATGATACTATAACTTTAAAATAATGTTTGCTAAGTTAGCAATATAGAAACCCTGTTAAGTTAGACAAAGAGGGGAATGAAAAATTTTAATTGCTCTCAATTTGGATGATATAGTATCACCTGCATTCTCAATGTAAATAAGGTTCTTGTTTAACCATTTAACGAATTCTACTATGTTACTTCTTTACAGCTAAAATTCTCAGAATCCTTGGTGTTCTGAAGTAAATTGTAATTCTCTAAGGAGTAGAAGCTATACAATTTATTTAAGCTTAGATCTTTGTTGTTTTAGGAATAACACTCCCCAGAACTCTTCCAGGATCACAATTTGTGAAGTGCCGGTTTTAAGAATCAAAGTTTTCACTTGTGGCTTTTCTAGCCAAAATGTATTTCAGAAACTATACAATTAATCTATCTACTGGCATATCACTAATGAGTTGACAAAGAATTTTATAAAATAGTTTTTCTCATTACTTGCAGACTTCAAAAGTGGAATTAAATGGTGAATAAAAGTGACATGGCTAATCCCTGTAGAAATGTAGCTAATTGCAATGACACGAAGTGGCAGGTGATACAAGAAAAGAAGACAGAACAAGACAAAGAAGATTTCAAATTGATTCTAGCAGGCTGTGTATTCTTGAACAATCAATAATTTCCTTGGTTCTTTTTGTTTTTCAACATAAAAACTGGTGATAGGTCTAGGGTACTAGACTCTCCTCTTCTAGATTTCATGTTCTAAGCACAGTGACTTGTTCTTTTTTTCTTAATTTTTTCCATTTATAAACATAATTAAAATCAAGTTATAAAATAATGTGAAACATAACTAGGGCTAGTTAATTGAAGTGATGTAAATGCCAAATAATTTAACTTGTTGTTTATTGCAATAATTGTTTATTCTTTGTTTCTATTTTCACAAAAGATAGATGCATGAAAAGTGATTAGCCATAGGATGGCATAAAATAAGTACTTAATGAAGAACATCAATAAGAGTAAAATGATAACAGCCTTTTCATTAAAAGTTGGGATGATGATAGTGATGATGACAGAATTGAGAAGCAAAGAATCTTAGTATTATGGAGCTGGAGGGGACCAAAACATTTTTTTCTACTAATTTTTGTTTTGTGCGGATAGGAAAATAAGGCCCACAGAGTATTAAGATGATTCCCCCAAAGATTACCTCTAAATATGATAGACAAACTAGAGCTCAGGTGTTCTCATCCCAGGCCTTATGGTCTGAATTGTTCAGCATACCTGATTTCCTATAGCTGAAGTCAATCACTTTCCATTTTAGTGACATATATACTTGAGAGGAGTCATTACAGAGTCATATGCCATTACAGCATATACAAATGTACTTTGTGATAGAGATTAGCACACTATGAGAAATTATTTTAACTGATTATTTCCATCGTGTTTAGAGAAAGGAGCAACCTTAAATAAACAGTAAAACATAATAGTAAATGTTACCTTTCATTGGGTGTTTGCTATCTGTCGGGCCTGATACAAAACCTGGTTGGTGCATTTCCTTATCCAACCCTCTCACAGCCTACCCAGTGAAGTTCTTTAGGATTCCCCATTTTATTAAAGAGCAGCTAAGCCTCCAGATCTCCAGCTTAGACTTTTCATTAGTCTTTTGGACTTTGTTTCAATTTACGGCAGTCGGTCTCAATCGGACCTTTTTTTTTCTTCAGGAGACATTTGGCAATGTCTGAAGGTAATTTTAATAGTCCAATTTGGCAGAGGTGGGTGTGGGGTGGGAGGGCTGCTACTATACCACAGAGTAGAGGCCAGGAATTTTTTTAAACATCCTATAACATACAGGATAACCCTCACAGCGAAGAATTAGCTGACTCAAAATGTCGTGAAAAACTCTGCTTTGTAGACATGGAATGTAAAGGCTTATATCAGGGCTAAAATCTTTTACTAGAACTCATTTAAACAGGTCTGTTTTTTCATTAAAAAACAAGCAAACAAACAAATGACTACAAAAGATCAGTGAGGCAGTAGCCTCCTCAGCAGAATTCTTGCTTCTTTTGAACGATGCAAAGTCTATATAGCTTCGCCTCATATCGGCAAAGAATAGGAGTGAGAAATACAAATACTCTACAATACAATCTGGATAAAATATTGTTTCACCGTTTTCTTTAAAACAGGAATATACGATTGACATATTTTTTGCCCAAACATGGTATGACAGACGTTTGAAATTTAACAGCACCATTAAAGTCCTCCGGCTGAATAGCAACATGGTGGGGAAAATCTGGATTCCAGACACTTTCTTCAGGAATTCCAAAAAGGCTGATGCACACTGGATTACCACTCCCAATAGGATGCTGAGAATTTGGAATGATGGTCGAGTACTCTACACCCTAAGGTATTCTTTTGAAAGAGGAAAGGAGTAATTGTTGGAAAGAAAACAAAAATCCAACTTCCTAAAAAAAATCTATCTTAAAAAAAATGTTTAAGCCTACATCACAGTTTTTGACATGCTTGATCAAGTAGTATGACACTGTAGCATTATTTTTTTTCTGTTGTCTGTGAGCTTTTTTCAAAACACTAAACATAGTACAACTTATTTTCTGTGACTTAAGTGAGATCTGTTTTCTCACAAGTGACATAAAATGTGCTTTGCCTTTTAAAGATCATCTGACCTTTGCACTAACTTTGCCTTTTGTTCATCTGACCTCTGCACTAACCTTACCTTTTGTATATGTGCATGTGCCCTGCTACTTTAGAATATGGAAACTAAGGCAAAGACAGTCATTCTTGGGACTGCCTGCTCTTATGCTTGGAAATATATTCATTTTTAAGAAAATAATTGATAAAAGAGAATTTTTGATGTGAATGTCTTCCTAAATCCTTTTCTTTTTAGCTGTACAATGACAAGCACCTAAAATCTATTATCCTTCATCTCCTGGAACCCCACTTTCTATTACATTAATAGACCGTTTAACTTAATGTATTGTCTATCTTGGGAATAGACATCTTTGGGGAAAAGTTGAAAGAGCTATTTAATTTTTAAAAATTAAATTCTGAAATTAAATTCTGAAATTAAATTTTGAAATTAAAGTAATATTATTTTATGCCATTATCTTAGCACTTCATGCTTAACATGCATTTAAAATATTTTTACATTGAGTTTTCTCATTGGTGGGAGTACATTATAGAAAGCATAATAGATAAGGACATAGTGTTAAGAAATCAGACAGATTTGGCTTTGGTTTTTAATTCTCTATCTTACTAAATGAGGGGAACTCCCACCCCAAAAATGTAATTACTTTTTTGGAGGGCAAGACCCTTGTAGTACAGCTCTCTCCACCTCAGGTAAATGTTCTAGGACTCCATCAGCATCAGTGTACCAGATAGCGTTGTTAGAACCTGCGTTCGGCTTCAGTGAGGCTTTTTGGGTTTTTGTTTGTTGAGATTCTTTCAACCATTCGTCTATTTTTTTTTTTTTTGAGTTGGAGTCTCACTCGGTCGCCCAGACTGAAGTGCAATGGCCGCTCCGGCCACCGCAGCCTCGACCTGCTGGGCTCCGCGATCCTTCCGCTCAGCCTTCCGAGTAGCTGGAATTACGGGCAGGCGCTACGATGCCCGGCTGATTTTTTGATTTATTGTAGAGATGAGGTCTCGCTGCCCAGGCGGGTCTGGAACCCGCGGGCTCAGGCAATCCATTCACCTCAGCCTCCCAAAGGCGTGGGATTACAGGCTGAGCCACCGAGCTGACGGTGATTTATGCGTTCACCCGACCACACCAAGCTAAGTTTTCAGCAGTTTTTCACTATAAAAGGCATGACGCCTGTGCCCCACCCTCCCTGTTCACCTGGTCTCATCCCTAGTGACCTCTTTTTTGTTTCTCCAATGAAAAAAATCCTCAAAGGGAAATGTTGTAACAATGTGGGCGAGATGAAACAAAAAAACAGCATCGATGAGTTCAAAATCGACGAGTGGTGACAAAAGCATCTCCAGGGGTGTATTGCCTCAAACGGAGAGCATTTTGAAGGTGACTGAAGTTTCAACATGTAAGAATGAATACAAAATTTTTGAAAACTAAATTTCTGTTTTGGGGGGTTCCCCTTGTATGTATGAACTTGGGCAACTTTCTGGCGTTTCTGTATAGAAGGACTTAGTAGCAGTAATCCAATAGCAGAGATCTTGGTGTTAGAAGTGTCCTCAAAGCTCTGTTTGCATCATAAGCATACTGTTTTTATTTGGTTACGTTTCGATTTAGAGGAATTATGTGAAAACTAACAAAATTATTGGGGAAAAAAGGTCACTACCACCCTGAACCACACTGTGCTGCATCTTTTATTTTAGTACCACAACTGAGCAAAGTCTTTTACCTCTCATTTCTTTAATTTCTATAAAACAGAGATAATAATTCTTAACTTAAAGAGTTGCTAAAAGGACAAAATAGGATGATATGTAAAAGGCTTTACATAGAGTCAGATATATAGCAGGCATAGCAGATATTAGCATGATTTATATACATGTTCAATCAAAAATAAGAATATGGTATTTCTAGATCTTTATGTCTGAAAACTTCTAGCTTCAAAACGATGCATCAAATGTGTTTGTGGCATATATTTTAAACCTCAAATGATATTCAGCTACAAAAATATAATACTTGAAAATGGCTCTAAACTCTTTATCAGAATTATGTCAATATTAAGAAAAATACCTCCAATTACAAAATACATTCATTGTGTATATTTTATATTCATTATGGCTTTCATTTTATTAAATATAAATTAATGACTAGAATTAGAATCTAGTGCATTCTAAAGACTGTCTAATAAATCAGAGCTCAGTCTAGCTTTTGTTTTTGTTTTTATTTTTGTTTTTTGTGTTTGTTTGTTTGTTTGTTTTGAGTTGGAGTCTCACTCTGTCACCCAGACTGGAGTGCAGTGGCCGCTCCCGGCCACCGCAGCCTCGACCTGCTGGGTTCCGGCGATCCTTCTGCCTCAGCCTTTCAAGTAGCTGGAACTACAGGCGCGCGCTACCATGCCCGGCTAAATTTTGATTTATTGTGGAGATGAGGTCTGGCCAAGTTGCCCAGGCGGGTCTCGAACCCTCGGGCTCAGGCAATTCACTCACCTCAGTCTCCCAAAGTGCGGGATTACAGGCTAAGCCACCAAGCCTGGTTGTCAGTCTAGCTTTTGAAATGTGAAGTCAAAGGCACTGTTTCAATTCCCTTTATTGTTCTTATAACGTTGTATTCATTTTTTTATTAGTATTTTTACTTTTTAATTTTAAAGATGTGGTGTACAATTCAGTATTAGATACATAAGTGGTAATCATACAGGTAAAGTTTGGTCCTCCCTTTTGTCCGCACGTCTCTCAGTTTTAGATCAGGTATCCTTATTGATGTTATGTCTCCCCACCTCCCCTGGCACTTTCCCACTACTGCCAATCCCTTTCTTATTATGATAAATGTTCAGGTTCTGATTATGAGTGAGAACATGGGTTACTCAGTTATTTGTTTCTGTGATAGGTCACTGAGTACTATAGACTCTACATCCATCTAAGTTGGTGCAAAGTTCATAATTTTGTTCTACTTTATGGCTGCACAATATTAATTTGAAGAATCACTACAATATTTAATTATGAAAGCCACTTAAGAACGGTTACTTCTGTAGAGTCAATACGAATTTAAATGGTAACCTATCTATATAAAGAGATAGTTTTGTTTAGGTTGCTTATCTATAATGAACTATTAGTGTGTGTGTGTGTTTGTGTATGCACATAGACATATATATCTGTATGTATGTTTGTCTCTGCAAATAATCTATATTCTTTTCAATGTTTAGAATTCCAGTTTAATTTGGATAGATAATACTAATAAAATATCTATTTTAATTGTTCTTTTACATATGAATAAAACTAATTTTTTTGAAGATCATGTAATTATTGAGTAACAATGATTAAAACCTGTGTTTCTGGAGATGAACAATCTTGGTCCAAAACTCATCTGTGTTCCTGGTTATATGACCTTTGACAAATTAAAGTACAATAAACTCATAATAATACTTGCTAAATAAGGAAACAATTCATGTTAACCAGTGCTTTATATAAAAGTAAAGACTAAATAATAATTAGACACATTTTAACATCATTAATTGCTCCATTATGCCATAGAATATTAAAATCTTCTCAATTAAAACCTATACCAACTAGAAAATCTTTAAAAATAAATTTCCATAAAGCAATATTTTTATATTACAATGACATATTACCAGTATAATTTGGAGTTATATTCATATTTGTCCAAACTATAGCTAAAAATATGAAATTTAAAAAATTAACAACACATTACCATTAAAAGGTGTGATTATATTCGTTCTTGTCCAAAGGTGGTCAGTACCTGTTATACTCCTTCAAATTTTCTCACTTACAGAATCCCAGCCCAGAACTTTAGACTTGGAAATCTATATACTGAAATAATCACCTTTGACACAAGCTATTTGAAACTCAATGATAAATATTTTTCTGAAATGTCTGCGTATATGCACTTAACATTAGAGATTATTCTACTCTATAATATCCTAGTTAATTGCTTCATAGTTTTCCACTATAAAATTGTGTGATATTCCATTGTACAACATAGGTATTTTTAAACTCACCTATAGCAATTAAAGCTAACAGCTAGCAATACGTATAAACAGCACATCCTGTTTTAATTAATAGATAAAATCTGACAACTATTAGCATTCATTTACATGCAAACAGCAAATGAACTTAAAAGTTCTTAGAACTGTTAAGTTAAATATAATCACTGAACAATATGTGATCAAATTAATTTGCCAAAAAAAATACGTGAAATCAAAACACTAACACTTAGGTGATCACAAATTTTGAAAAAATACAGTTGAAGTCAATGAAATGCTATTGTTTGGTCTGTGAAAATGAGCAGATTAAATTAAGTCATAAGAATTTGTTTTCTTGTAGTTGGTGGATTTCTTAGTATAAATCACTTTGTACTATCAATCAGTAAGATATACTTACCAGGAATAAAGACAAATGGTTATCAAAATTTGTGCTAATGCACATTTTAAATATTATGTCTAAGATCTTTCTACTTATGTTTAATATCTTTCTGTTTAGGTTGACAATTGATGCTGAGTGTCAATTACAGTTGCACAACTTCCCAATGGATGAACACTCCTGCCCCCTGGAGTTCTCCAGTTGTAAGTAGTATTTCTTCTACAATCTGTATTCTCTGTTACTTATATTCTTTCTGATTGCAATGTCAATTAATTGAAAGAATCACAGAATGACAAACATACATTAAACCATGTTATTGACTTTGATGATTTGGGCAGTCCCTTTTATTCTTATCTCAACTTGTTCCTTTTAGGGTGGTTCCTGTAAAATAATTATCTATTTTATTGAGGATTATGAATGTTTCATTGAGTTGCAAACTTTATGAATGTTCAGAGATTGCCTGAAGTTCTTTATTGTAATGGATTGTAAGGCCAAGCCTAGACTCAACATTAAGAGTGCAATTGTTGAGTGCAATATCAAGAGTGCAATGGTTGATTATACAGCCTCTTTCTTCCATTAGCCCATGAGGGGAATGGAGCACATTGCTACTTAAAAAGTGCACCAAAGAAAAATAGCTTTGTTGATAAAATATATGTAAAATTCTTGGCTAGGAAATGGTCCTTATAACCATTACTTTATCCTACCTCTCAATGTGATACCTTTTCATAAAGATTTTCTGTTCTCTTGCTATCCAAGATCATTGATACCTTCTCTTTGCATTTCTATGTACTGCTTAATGTATATTCTATGTATGTTAAAATGGAGTTCCAACAGATTGAGAGAAAGATAATAATATAAATAATTGAGGTTATTTTTCCAGATCATCTTCTACTCCAAGTACATGCCAAGGAAAAAGATTCTGAGTTTGCTTTCTTTCATTATTTTCTGTTTCTATATGACTCAAAATCCTACCCTGTTGACTGCCTTTCACTGAGAAGCAATACTTTGCATATCAACTATTTATTATATACTGGCCACTTTACATACAGTGTAAAGAATGCATATGCCATATATAAAACTATGTGTAGTATACATTCTACACAATCTAAATTATTTTCAAGGATCATTTTGACCTTCAAAAGTTTGAATCTTACTTCCCATTAGGGTGTGATGCCATTATATTTATATTCCTATTAATTTTCCCAATACCTTTTGTTCAAAGACCCTCATCTAGCTTATAACTACATCTCTCTCAGTCCTTATCTCATTGTCTTTTTCATAGAGAATGGTTGCTATATATGTTCATTTGTATTCATTTTTTATATGAGCTTTCCTACCTTTCCCACCTCACAACAGATGGCTATCCACGTGAAGAAATTGTTTATCAATGGAAGCGAAGCTCTGTTGAAGTGGGTGACACAAGATCCTGGAGGCTTTATCAATTTTCATTTGTTGGTCTGAGAAATACCACCGATATAGTGAAGACAACTTCTGGTAAGATACACTTGAAAAGAACGTCAAGTGACTCAGAGTTACAATTCTGGTATATATGATGTGGAAGACTTTTCAATACCTATACATAGATGATATTCAGAAAGTCAAATGAAGTGTTTTAATATTACAGAGAAAATTATATTTGAAATTCTAGTAGCATAGATACATATAAATGTTTTCTACCAATTAAAAGTAAATTGGATTTATATAAGATTAATAAATTATTTATTTTAAGCAAAAAAATAGCAATTATAATAAAGGAAATATTTATTATAAGTGAGTTTATTAATAGAAAATGTTTCATAATATAGTGAAATAATGGCGTTTTACATAGGGAGAATAAATATTCCACAAATGCATAAATGTGACCATAGTGGTAATGGACTCATCCTCCATTCCATAACTCAATATTTGTGCATCTTTGGATAAGAGAACAAGATTTGGATATTAGAGAGGCCTGGTTTCAAATTCCAACTTCATCAGTTATCAGCTATATTTCTTAAACAAATTTATTGAATCACTGAGAATATCAGTTATCCAGATACCTAATGTGGATAAAAAGAACTACATCACAGGGGGACCGTGTGTATGCAAAAAATCATAATATTAAATTATAATAGTAGCTCTTAGTAATATTAATTATAAGATGTTCATTAGGGATAATGCAGTCAGAACTTTAGATTTTTTAAAAGAGGCAAAAAATCAATATTTTATATAAAATATCACAATTTATAATGGTATTATACAGTTTACTTAAAATTCTACGTGGGGCAGATAAGACACATTTCTAGACCAGATCTATCTCATGGGTAGCCAGTTTGAACGCTCTGTAATGCTGAGTATATACTCCATGCAGATTGTTCTAACTGCTCCTTTTAAATTATGTGAATTTAAATATGTATCAATTTCAAATATAAGCATCTTGTTCTCAGCTTCACATCTATTAAGGTATGTCATTTAAAATACATTTTTACAAGTAGAGCTGTTTTCTACTGATTTATTCACTGATTTTTTTCTAGCATTCAAAGTATATATTTTTGTGCTGAATAATTTGAGATAAGACCTATTCTATTGTACAAGAGATAAGTAAATAAAAGACTTACACAGAGATGGAAATTTGTGATACTACTTTCAAAAATATTATCCTCTAAATCAAAGAATTATCTAGCTCTAACATTGTTTTTAGCATTTGCAACTTTCTACTAAAGACTGTCTTATTTTGCAAGAGAAATTAGAAAAAGGTCAAAATAATGCTTGAGTATATTTTTTTAAAGTAGCCTTCTGTTTATTTATTCACTGGAAATTCTGACCATTAAGTACTAGAACAGTCTTAAATTTGGTTAAGGAAAACAAAATTTCAGGATTGACTTGTAACTGAAGTCCTTCAACTGTGAAAGGAAGAACACATGTAAAATTAATCTCCAATCATTCATGCTTGCAGAATGAGACACTGGGCATTGAGTTTTGTTCTATATTCTTTTTTCTAGAATTATTTTAGCACCCTAAATAAAAATACACAAACTCGTGAATAATTGATTTTTTATTTAGTGGTTTTGAGCTTAGCATGGCATTAAGGCCACATGATGGTAGTGAAGGGGTTGATTTTACATCAGAGAGCCTAACAGTACCCCATCCCAATGTCTCATATTGAGATTGATCTAGGGTATTTACTGTCTATTAAGAGGTACTTCTGGGAAAAAATATCTACTTACATTAAGCAAATAATTAAGTTCCCACAAGGCTATTAATCTTCCTAAAGAAATCATAGCAAAATGGTATTAAAAAGGTCCTGTAGGGATTTGACATTAAGTACCATCATTTAAATGATCTCGTCAACTCCTTTGTTAATTTTAATATTGTAGATAGCCTTCACATTAGTCTTTTTCCCACTCCTTGCACTTGCTGGTTTATATTTTGTGTGCAGTACTATTTCAATGGATTCTTTGAAAAGAAAGGGTTGAATTAAAAATTAGTATCTATACTGAGAGGCAGCCTGATTCTTGTAACAGTTAATTTGTAATGATTGGAAGTATTTGTTTGCTATTTGTTTGATTTCCTATGCCCTTCTTACTTTCAAAGTATGATTCTATAACTAGTGAAAGTTTACAAGGAAGTTATATTAACAACTTTCTTGAAAAATTAGCAGAAATTTATAATGTGGGTTTCTTCTAGACTTGTAGTAAATGTAAAAGTAAAAGTAAAAAGCCTCTGGGCAAGAATATTTCCTAAAATTGATATAGTGCAGTTTTCTACCATTTATTGATTCAAACTTTGTTATATCCAAGTGGTGACTATAGTTTTGCTTCATTAATATTTTTTCTTTAATTTCATTTATTCTTTTAATAATATTAACTTTGTTTAAAAAGGAAAGCTTATAATTGTCAAACCAGAGAATCTGACATAAATAGAAGTTGATATAAAAATATACTAAAACACAAACACATGTTCTTACATTTTAATGCATGTATTTGTGTTCCCCAGACTTTGAGTATGTTATAAAATAGAGAAAGAGACAGAGAGAGAGAGGGAAGGAGGGATTAGAAATATAGGAAAATGCAACTAGTACCAAAGTAAAACATTCTCCTTGATGTAAACAGAAGGATAGGGGGGCATTCCTCAGGAATAACTTTTTCACCAGGAAATTTAATGCTATTTGATAGTTTTTGCATCTATAACTTAGCAATATCTCCTTTACTACTGGTTTTGTTTGTGCTGTTGTTGGTTTTCTGTTACAGTTGAACACCCCCACCCCCCAAAAAAACCTCCCTGGTGTTAGATTGTTAAGATTTGAAGAATATCTTTAATTTATAGTCAATATGCCGCACAAATTTTGTATCCATGATTTCTCCTTCAAACCTGATTGTTCTATATCTAGTAAAACTCCACCATTGCCCCAGTGAACTAGGCATGAGCACACGGAGTCTTGTCTCTGCCTCCCACATCTAATGAATCATGAAGGAACTTATGCCTCTGAAATTTCTTGTGTAACTATCCTCTTTTCAGTTACCATTGCCACTGTCCTAGTTCATGATTTTGTCTGTTCTCATCTGGTCCATTTTGGTAGCTTAAGTTATATCTCTAATGTCAGTCTGTCTCTTTTACAGTCTATGCTTTAAACATTAATTGTGGAAACTATCATTTACTAAGCACTAACTATATACACCATGGCAAGCACTTAGTGTAAATGATCTACTTTAATTCTCATAACCATAGTTGTATTTACTCTTATCAGCACCTATAGTATCACTGCAGAAGAGAAAACTGAGACTTCATAGGGATCCTTTGATTTGCAGGTATCAAGAACAAGCACTGGGACACAAATTCAAGTGGTCTGTTCCCAGACTCATGCTCATAATCACAACAGTATTTGACTCCCATCGTGATGTACAATTTCCATCATGTCTCAATAATTCTGTAGGCCCAAATAAGCACAAGCCATTGATTCTAATATGTAAGAAACTGATCTCAGAAACTTCCTCACGTTGCTTTTTATGATTTCTTATTTTGCGAAAGAACTAATCTGTTAATATTTTTCAGAACTTAACTGGCCAGTCCTCTAGCCACATTGAATCTCAGTTTTCTTCCTCTTTTGTTTGACTTCTTAACTCACTCTTACCATTTTATCTCTATGACTTTAAGGTTTAAATCAATGGCATTTCACCAATTATGTCTTTATCAATCTTTACAACAAACCTGCTTGCAACAATTTTTAGGAATATTTTCTCTTGTCAAGCAGCTCAGGTTTAACCCCAGCTTGGTCATTTGCTAGTGATGTGAACTTTATATAAATCGTTTATATATCTGAGCACAGTATCACCATTATTACAGAACTTCTCCAAGGATTAAGTAAGATCCTCCATTAAAATGCTTAAAACTGGGAAGGACTTAGTAAATGGAAGGCAATATTATTTCTATTTTCATTATTGTTATTACTCTAGTAACTCCCCCTGGAACCTTTTATCCACCTTATGAAAACATAATTTCCCCCTTGTGTTTTCTGGGCACGTGTTTTACTCACCAGTTCCTGACCCCTCACTCTGCTAAATCATAAACTTCACAGCAGAAGCCTTCTTTTAATCATCTTTGTTTCCATGAAGTTATTAGCCTGGTGTTATGTGTAACATGGATTATAGATGATGCGTAAATTTTTTATTTATGAAACGTATATTGATAAAACTATGTACCTTAGTATATATCATTTGGCCAGGCATGGTATCAAACACCTGTAATCCTAGAACTTTAGAATGCTGACGTAGTAGGATTGCTTGAGGCCAAGAGTTCAAGACCAGCCTGGGCAACATAGCAAGACCTCTATATATCCAACCATTATGCATTATTATCCCATCATACTATTTCCCTTTCCTGAGATTTTTCTGGATAAGCTATACTTACTACAGGACCTATGCTCATTTTTATCTTATTATTTAATACTAAGCTCAAGTCCAACTTTCTGTGCCTATGTCAATGTTTACAAATGAGTGAAACCGTTCCCCAAATAGAAATAATAGCTCCAACCTCTCAGACTGTGTTTTCCTTTAAATGTCCCTGGTAAAATAAAAAGAAACGTATAAAATTTTACTCATCATGAAGATGATCAATTGTAGGCAAGAGAAAGGGGTATTAAAAGACACAAGTTAATAGTATTTTGTTTATTTGTTTGTTTTATTTTAAAGATGTAGGGTAAAATTCAGGATTAGGTCGATAGGTGGTCATTGTACAGGTAAAGTTTGGGCCACCCTTTGGCCCCCTCTTCACCTGGTTTGAGATCAAGTACCCTTATTGATGTTATGTGCCTTCCCTCACTCCATGGCAGTGTCCTGCTACTGCCAATCTCTTTCTTATTATGATAAATGTTCAGAGTCTGCTTATGAGTGAGAACATGTGGTATTCAGTTATTTGTTTCAGTGATAGATCACTGAGTATGATAGACTCTAAATTCATTCAAGTTGCTGCAAAGTCTATAATGTTGTTCTGTATCACTACATACTATTCCATAGTGT